TCTTTTAAACGCTGTTATAGTCCCTAGCCTTCACAACCTCCTCAGGCAAGGAGTTCCACAAGTTGACTGTGCGCTGCGTGAAGAACTTCCTTGTATTTGTTTTAAACCTGCTGCCCATTAATTTCATTTGGTGACCCCTAGTTCTTGTATTATGGGAATAAGTAAATAACTTTTCCTTATTCACTTTCTCCACATCACTCATGATTTTATAGACCTCTATCATATCCCCCCTTAGTCTCCTCTTTTCCAAGCTGAAAAGTCCTAGCGTCTTTAATCTCTCCTCATATGGGACCCATTCCAAACCCTTAATCATTTTAGTTGCCCTTTTCTGAACCTTTTCTAGTGCCAGTATATCTTTTTTGAGATGAGGAGACCACATCTGTACGCAGTATTCAAGATGTGGGCGTACCATCGATTTATATAAGGGCAGTAATATATTCTCTATCCCCTTTTTAATGATTCCTAACATCCTGTTTGCTTTTTTGACCACCTCTGCAAACTGCATGGACATCTTCAGAGAACTATCTACAATGACTCCAAGATCTTTTTCCTGACTTGTTGTAGCTAAATTAGCCCCCATGATATTGTATGTATAGTTGGGATTATTTTTTCCAATGGGCATTACTTTACATTTATCCCCATTAAATGTCATTTGCCCTATCAATTAATTTTGTGAGAATTACTGGAAGGGACCCTGAAAGGTCATTGAGTCCAGCCCCCTGCCTTCACTAGCAGGACCAAGTACTGATTTTGCCCCAGACCCCTAAATGGCCCCCTCAAGGATTGAACTCACAACCCTGGGTTTAGCAGGCCAATGCTCAATCCACTGAGCTATCCCTCCCTCCCTGTTCAGTCCTTGTTTGTTTCTGACCAAAAACTGAATTTTGGGGGGCCTCGTGGGGAGCCAGCTGTGGTCACTCAATTAGGGTGAACTGCAAAGAATGGGGCAGACAATCCCCATAAAGCTGGTGGATATTCCAATACCTAGATTCACCAGGCCAGCATCAAACAGCTTCTTTATTACCGTACTGGTTACTCAGAAGTCCAAACAACACAGTTCCCTTCAAGTGATCCAGCCTCAGGCCTCCATCCAGGTACCCACGTCAAACATGATGAAAATTTCTGTAAATCTTATTTCATTATATAAAAGAAAAGGTTCTACCAATCCCAAAGGATCGGACACATCATCTCCCAGGTTAGCGAATGTTTCAGATCTTACCCAAATACACGCTACAGCCAGTTCTTATTAACTAACATTGAAAGGTTTATTTATAGAAAGAAAGAAAGAAAGAAAGAAAGAAAGAAAGAAAGAAAGGTGAGAGTTAAAATTGGTTAAGGGAATCCACTACATACAGTAATGGCAAAGTTCTTGGTTCAGGCTTGTAGCAGTGATGGAATAAACTGCCGGCTTAAGTCAAGTCTCTGGAGTACATCCCCAGCTTGGATGGGTCATTCAGTCCATTGTTCAGAGCTTCAGTTTGTAGCAAAGTTCCTCCAGAGGTAAGAAGCAGGATTGAGAAGCTGCAGCTGCCTTTTATAGTCTCTTGCCACGCGGCCTGTGCTTCCTTTGTTTCAAACACAAGCTGCCCAGCACATGGCTTGGAAGCCTTCGAGTTCTCTCCATGGGCATGTCCCTGCCTGCCTGGCTGAGTCATAAGGTGTATCTGCCTTCTCTCAATGGGTCAGTTGTACAGCTGATGGTCCTTAATGGGCCATCAAGCAGGGTAGGCAGTGTTGATGCCAAACTGGCTGGGGTGTCACCCAGAAGCATAGCACAAGTTTGAAAGACAGACATACATACATATCTATAACCCATAATACAAAGGCGATACAAACGTATAAACAAGATGATCATATCCGGCAAATTATAACATATTGCAGATACCTTACATGGCATATCTGGCTGATTACTTAGGCATTACCCCAGGAGCCAACATTTGAAATCCAGGTATAGAGTCAATACTTATAACTTTAAATACAAAAATGATACAGGCATACAGATAGCATCATCATAACCAGCTAATCATAACCTTTTCATAGACATCTTACTCGACAACCTTAGTACAATATTTGCTGCAAATATATAACAGTGGTTGCAACCATGATCTATATGGTCATATTTTAATCAGATAGCGTCATGGGGGGGGGGGGGGATTTTCAGTTTGACCAGCTGACAAGCGGAAATCTTCCACTGAAAATTTGGCTGAAACCAAAGTTTTGTTTTCCTCAACATTTTCTCAGAGGGAATCAACACATCCCAGTTTCCAAATCAGCATGGAACAGCAGGGCTGATAGTCTAGCTCAGTGTTTCTCAGATATGGCCAGCATGGCTGCATGCGGCCATCAGGGGCTTTTCTTGCAGCCACAGACCTCCTGGGTGCTGATCGGGGAGGGGAGGGTGGCAAAGCAGCAATCCCTCCCCCGAGTCCGCCAGCAGGGGTTGGGCCCTCCCCCCTCCTCTGGAGCCAGACAGTATGAGTTCCCAGCTTCCTGGAGGAAGTGGGGTTCAGGTTTCCAGTTTCAACCCTGGCTCACCACCCCCCCTTATTACCCCTTGCTCCCGCTGCCTCCTCTGGCCCCTCACCCATCCAGCCCATGACCCTGGGCCCCCACTGTCTCCCTACCCACCTCCCCATCCAAGGCTTAACTTGTCCCTAGGCTTGCCAGGGCTGAGTAAGTCTGTTGTGAAAAGTGATGTGTATGTTTGTTAATATCTCTTTTCACAGTCTCCCAGCTAGCTAACAAGTCTTCTGCTGTGAACAGTGACTTTATCAAACATACAAATATCACTTTCCACAGAAGCAGACTTACTAGCTAGCAAGTCTAAAAAGAAAATGCAACAACAACAAAAAGACGAGAACATGCAAAGCACCTTATTTGCGTTTCTATTCTGTTTAGTTCCGATAAAGAAATAGAGCCAAGTGTATGTTATTTTTATTATTCAGTCTGCGAAAAACTCCTACAGACATAAATTACTCCGATTTGGACATTGCGACGGGGGGGGGGGGGGTGGCGCGTCTGGCTGACACCACAGGGGGGTGCTGTAACATCACACAGAGTAAGCTGTCACTAATGGGTGAGAGTTGACATAGATTCTGCAGGGTCTTTGTGAGAAGGAAGAGAAGACACTGAATTCCCATTGATCCCTCCTGGAACAGTCTCCCTACCACCAGGTTACAGTTTTGTGTATCAATGGCCATATTTTGGTTACATTGCCGGGTTGGATTTTCTTTCACACCTGGTACCTGTTCTAGAGGGACTATTTTTTTAACCCCACTCTCATCCCTCTCCGCAATACCCACTCCTGCCTTGTTTCTTGCATTTTTATCCCGTTCCCAACCGCAAAAACCTGAGACCCAGCAAATCCCACAAGAGAGAAAGATTCCCCCAGGCTACTAAAAAAACCCCAAACTGTCAGTTAATATATTATATATATTAATGGAATTCAGACACAATTTTTACCACTAAAGAAATAAAACAAATCTTGCTTAAACCATGTAGAAAAATACTTTAACTCTTGTTATAATAGATGTCAAATCCCTTTCTGTGCCTCGCTTAAATAGAAGTACTAAAACCTTTATTTAAAAAGATATCGTGTCTTCCTACAAATTACTGTCCTCTGGTTTTTTTGCCCACCCAAACCCACCCGCTCCTGCTGTTATGACAGCAGGTTCTGCGATACCCACGGGATCCCTGTCCCACTGCAGGGCTCTAACCTGCTCCACCCCCACGTTGGCATTTCCACATTCATCTAGGCAATGGAACGAGCACTACACTACACGAAAAACGCCTCGGAGGAAACAAACCCTTTTCGCCCCATAGCACAGCTCCCCTTTTACACTCACCAATCTCAGACCTGGAATCTACAGCAAAGAGGCAGGTGTGAACGGACAATGTTTCTCTGTGTGTCACTCCTTATTTGAGGTCAGATTTCCATGATCTCCTTACATTTACTGACCGAGTAAGACCCATCTATCAGTAATAATAATGCTATGCCTCGGGGAGTGTGTGTGTGTGTGTGTGTGTGTGTGTGTGTGTGTGTGTGTGTGTGTGTGTGTGTGTGTGAGAGAGAGAGTAACAAAGTA